AGCTGTGAAATTTAAAATACAATTATAATTAAATTCTATATCTTAAAAATAATAAATGAAAAGGTGGAGTGAAATATTTTATCTTAAAATAATAATAATAATAATAATAATAATTTTTTCCAACAGCCATTTAAGTCGATATATTTTAATACAATAAAAACACACGTTATCTAATCAGACATAGGCTATGTTTGATCGACAAATAAGTTAACTTATAACTTATTTGGTTAGCTTATAAGTTTCTTGTATTCAAATAAACTTCGTTTGGTAGGACAAACTTTTTTAAAAAGTTCGAGCTTAACTCATAACCTTCTTTGAGTAGCTTTTTAAATAACTTCGTTGAATTTTTTTTTTTTTTTCAACCAGCTTATGAGATAATTTTACCACCAAACACTTTTATTATATAATCTAGTTTTTCAGGTATAAGACATAAACTATAAACTATAAGCTCGAAGAGCACTTATAACTATCAACTAGCTTATCAGTTAGTTTTAACAAACATAACCATAATCATCATGACAAAGAATCTACCATCCAAATAAATGTACATTTTGTGTTCATACACGTAAATCCAATAAGGGCATCTACAAAATATATTGATGCTTGGGAGTAAAGTGTCCTGTCATCTTCCCCTCCAAAAATTTCCTCCCACATCGACTACAAATTATATGATCCTCCATGAAAAATCACCTCTCTGCTTCTTCAAAAGCGTAACTTTCACATTTGTAATTAAAAGAGAAAAAGAATACAAAAATGAATCAGAGCTCTAAGGTGTCACCTTTTCTGTGTAGTCATTTTAAGTGTAATATAACCCGGGATTGATTTGGGGTTGGGTTCCACTTTCCAAAATTGCTTTTTTTACATGTAGAGTCTCCTCATCCGTCAAATCTATTTTCGACTTGGGCACCTTCTTGACATAAAATTTCATATCGGTCCCTGAGGGTGGCAAATATGTAGGACAACATGAAGATATGTCGATGCCAGCCACCTCCATTGCATTGCATACCCACTGAGGAACGTCTCCTTTCGGGAACTAACAGAAAGTTCAGCAAAAAACTATTAGATGATTTTGTAAATAATAAAAAAAAAATAATAATAATAACATAAGCCATTGAAGTACGACTGTACGAGTGCAGAAAATGACTCATTAGATGATATTCCATGACATGGAGTATTTTATGGGTGTCTTATTACAAATTAAAAGGACCTCTTTTGGCCTACAAACAATGCAACAGAAAATGTTCCAGGAAACTTACCATTTTTTGAAGGAACTCGCAGACAAATCTGAAAAAAAAAAA